ACCCTTGTATCGATGCATATATTAATATTTATTATAAGCTTTCCTGTCAAATACGAATGTGGTTCGTCGGAATTAAAAGTTGAAAATATTGTGTCAACGTCACGCTTATTAAAAATACGACCTTACGTTGTCAATACTGTATGTTATGGTGTTGAGAATTCTTTAGTGACACGTTTTATGATTGTTTACCCAATAAACATATACGAATAGATGCTTAACTAATAAAGCGTTACTACGACAACCTCGAAAGCCTTGACCACGTCGATAAATTAATTATCGCCCAACGTTGTGAAGCAGCGCGTTTAGACCACCGATTGTTAAGTTTTATAGTCAATTCGATTGTTCGCAACTGTTAAACTTAAGGATTCAAGGTTCCTAAACAATAACGCGCAAATGCGTAGCGTTGCACAAGTGTAGGTAACACATAGAGCATTAATTTGGTCTAGTACATTCACAGGCTGAGCTGCGTTCACATCCGGAGTAGGGCGACAGTGCGTGTGTGCTACGCACACTAGCGCGTTCGGTTCGTGAACGCACACATAGCCCTTGTACTAAAATAATGACGAACCGCGAACGAACGCACATTTCTAATTACTAAGCGAATTATATATACGCCTGGTAATTAATTAAGTCTGAAAGTTTCCTAAGAATAATGTTCAACGATGGTAAGTCAATTTTGTCGTCACTATTGTTTATGTGCAGCAATTACTGTAAGTGGCTTAGTGCATTTATAATACTATGTAATGCATATAACGTTATTAAACATGTTTGTACGTTATTTTTAACTTTAAATGTAATTTTTTCGACAATCTAAACGGGTTTTTTGTAGTTGAGTCATTGAATTTTAAAAGAAATGATTCAACATTGAGCAAGTGATTGTTATCGTATGTATTTTGTGTAGCAGTGTTGGCCTAGTGGCGTGCGGCTCTCATCCGTGGTCGTAGGTTCGATCCTCGGATGTGCACCAAGGGACTTTCTTTCTAAGTGCATATTTGACATTCGCTCGAACGGTGAAGAAAATCATTTTGAGGAAACCGGCTTGCCTTAGACCCAAACAGCGTGTATCAGGTGAGGCTGATCATCTACTTGCCTATAATTACGAAACAGAAATCTGAGGCCCAGACCTAAAAAGGTTGTAGCGTCACTGATTTATTTTTATTTATGTATGTTATTTACGCTTATTTTATCTATTTTTAGATTATACGCATCTCAATGAGAAAGACCTGGGTAAAACTGGGAAGAAAAATTTTCTCACATTTTGGGTGTATACAAAACGTATATTATGAAACTGATTTTCTATATTTTAATATCGTGAGAAAGGAAACAAATATTATCATATAGCAATACAACATACCAGTATGCAGTTATTCATTAATTATAAGTAATACGCGTATGATTGCGATAATACTCCAAGTATTTAATATTTAAAAAAGTAATGATTAGAATAATTTAAATTCATGTTTCATAATGAATGGACATATCTGGCAAATATCTCGAACCAGTTAATATGGCTTTATTCACACAGTTATTTAATGAAATATCGATTCTGATGATTAAGGGACTGTGACGCCTATAAGAAATTGAATTTCTCTGTGATACTGGCCGCTTCTGGCCACTGCACTGGTAGAATGTCTTGAGCGACTCCGGAAGGCCCACAGATACTTTGTCGGAAGTTATACAACATACACCTTCACGACCAGGAACCCATAACCGGCTTGTATATATCAAGTGTGAGAATTAAACCATACATTTACCTTCTGTGAAAGAAAATTATGGTTAATTAAGGAAATGAGAATAGTATTTTTTTTTACAATTTCTAAATATGTCGCATAGGGAAGGTCACATAACCTCTTGATCATTTTTATTGTATAACATTTGAATTTCACTGCAACTTTTCATAGTTAAAAAAAACTTTATTTTAATTAATTTAAAAATATATATTTAAGTTTTTTGATTAAACCTTATGTGTTTGTCTAGGGTAGTGTGCAGTTTCCGTTCTTAGACGCCCAATTGGTAGTGTGTTAAGTGCTGGCTAATTCATCCAGTCTAGCTCCTTCCAGAAGCTCAGATGTTTCCTGGGCACTTCGCAGGCTTTACGGAGCGACCTCACTGCTCCGAGCATTAAACCTTTTTCCAATCCCTTTCATAAAACCGTCCCAGGTTCCAATTCTTTACTCTTGGGCTATAAGCCTATACATTTTCTTCTTTAATTTACTCCTATTTATCCACTCAGGCGCAGTCGCTGTTAAAAATTTAGCAAAAAGCGTTTTATATTTTGCTCCCTCTTCATATCTTAGTTATACACCATGTACTTACAAACACAGCTTCACGCTTTATATTAAATATTAAAAAATTTAAAACTGTTGAATTTAATAATATATGTATTAAAAAAGTTACGGAAGCATAGAACTTACTAAACGCTTATCATTAACACCCGCACACTTTTGATTTGAATATTTGACTTCGCTGATAAGACGAATTGGGACAGAGATTGTACTGTGACTTACAACCCAACGATTCACTTAATCTGGGGAAGAATTTAAATATTAAATTATCCAATGATTTCATAATAATTTCATGTGCGATGTACAGTTAATAATATGTCGCTATTGCCTACAGAATTAATATTAGTCAACGACCTCCGAAGGAGTGAAAGCCTTCTCCAAATTCTTCCATTTGACTCTCATCTTCGCTACTATTTTATAATATTTCCTTTCGCTTTTATTTCCTTTTCTCAATATTGCCTATAAACTGTTGACTAATGACAATCAAGCGACGCGATCAAACGTTTTTCCTATAGTACATAAACCTTTCATAAAGCTTGTTCTACAATATTTTTTTAATATAACCATGAACATATATACGCCCATTTTTATTTTAACGTGGGCATACAATAAAATTTAAAATTTTCTTTGTATTATATTAAAATGCTGTCAAAGTCAGTCAATAAATGTAAATTTAGAATTAATTTAACATTTTTTCTATTGACGTTCGTGTACTTGTTTACCTTCATGAATAAGGTTATTTTGAGTTTGAATAAAGTCCATTTCAACTTGAATATAACGAGAAAATTGTTCGTAGGACGTGTGTTACATTATATATTCTCAGCCAACATTATTTTCTCGAGAAAAACTATGGTGGAAAATTGCGTTGTTTGTTAGATTTCTCAAAAGTCACGTACTAAGAGTTAAATTGCCTTTTCAGTTACTCGGACGCCTCGTATCTATCTGGGTTAAAGTTTTCGGACGAAACATTTCATACATGTACAGTTAAGCCGAAAAGTGTATATTCAAAATTATCTTGTTTGAAAACTACACTAAATAAGCTGACAACAGTCAACAGAACAAATTTTGTAGTCCTTTTTCGTACTGGTACATGCGCAAACCATTAGACATTAAACATATATAAGATAGATAGATTTCAGTATTTTGCTTGTAACAATTATGTCAAAGATGAGAATATGAAAATAATACAAGAACAATTGGCACTCCATGCGGAAGCAAAATTACCTAGTACAAAGTGTAGCATCATTGCTAAGTTGGTATATACATACAAGTAATGTTACATACATACATTATTGGCACGAATAAGATATAGGCATGCGACATTCCTATGTTAGAAATGCTAAGAAATAACTTGGTAATAACATATTATTAAAAACTTTTCATAGTTCTCGTCAATGTCATAAAGCTAATACAATGACAAATACGTGATAACAAAAATTTTTTGTTCATTCATGTCAAATATATTGTCTTTAAATATAATTCTCAAAGCCTAGATTTTAAATATAATTCTCACCAAAACTTTTTATAACCTAGATTCTAGACTAAACAGTAAGCACGCAAATCTAACAATAAAAATGTCTTCCAAAACTGACGTAATCTTTCGTAAAAGCAAGGAAATCAAAACCGAGTAGCTACAAGTTACGTGTACATTACGTAAAACCTTTCGTATACTTTCTCTGGCAGCAAAATTTAGCGTGAACGATTACGCAAGCCGAAATGGCAGCCGACGAAATTTCGACAGCGAGAAGTCGACGTATAAGGAGAGCGGAGATGTGAAATTCGAAGATGACTGCACGACTCCTGAATAGGTTGCGTGTTGAAACTATATTTGTGTATACTCCACTTTCATACTGCTACTTAAACCATAATCATTCTAAACTTCCACATTTCTTTCATAAGTCCCTTTCATTGCCGCTGTGTTTAATCGAATGGACAATCTCATCAATTTAATTTGTGAACATGGACACCCCGAAAAAGCAAACAAACTAGCTATTATTATTAGCTAGTTAGCTATTAGGTCACAATTCCAAGTATTCATTCACTCTAGAATAGTTTACGATTTAATAGCGAAAGTTGTGTTTTACGACGCAATAAGCCATTGTGTTCTGCATAGTTCAATATTATTCATTTTTCGGCTCTTTTGACATACAAATATTTGTTTTGACCCCTCTTATTATCTTTTGTTAAACATAAAAGAATTGAATATTAATTTAATTTTGCTACCTCTATCTTATGTCATTTAATCAACAGGTTTTAAAGCTACATCTAATGTACATAAATTTTACCTAACGCCTAGCATATAAAGTAACTTTCTAAAACCAGGCGGAGTGACCTTGAAATAAAGCGTTCTTACAAAACCGCGGAGCCGACTTGCGGACCCTACCGCCCCCTCCAATGCAACAAACAGATCTACGCGCACTCTCGCGCATTCACGCGAGTGTGTGTCACACACACAGCCGCATTCAACACGTGTAACGTGGATGTGTGCAACCCGTTCAACATAAACTGAGTAGAAAGGAGTAGTGAAAAATCTAGTCCAGTCTCTGGCTTCCAGCAATTTGCCTCATTTGTCAAACGTGGAGCGTGCCTATTTCTTTGACCATAATAAACACTTAAAATTAGCACGTCGGGTAATAATATCTTCTTGGAATGCAGGATCGTCATCATGAATCATTTTGACGTGTCAGCCACAGTCGAACAGTCGAACGTAGGTAATCAAGTCGATATTGTTGTCACAATAATGCGCATTGAAAGTAAAAGAATATTTGAACACGCCTTGACAACGCACACGCTAACAAAACACACCTTAATAAATCTAGCAGTTTTGAAATCTTCCAAATATGTGAAATCCTTGAACATGCTATGTGGGTCATGACCAGGTTCCAATATGTCTCGGACTCGGTTATTAGCATTAAGTACTGCGCTCGCGTCGATATATTGCGCAATATTGTTGACTTTCATCTCCAAGGTCAAGTGCCATCCTATTTCAAAATGGACCTTGGTCGTGTCTAGTTCACCTCGCCTCGTTAGTGAAGAATAGTCGGTATGCGAGAGATGCTGCTAATGGATTCATATATCTATATTTATGTATGAATTTTCTAACGCTTGGTCCTCGGCGATTCGATTGATCGGTAAATATAGATAAGTGGATATACCAAGTGGTTCAAGGTATCCACCGGTTTCAAGGTCAACTGAATTCGCACCGTGAGAACTGCCGCATATGACTTAATCCATCATAATTTGCCGTAATAACATAAGATATATTCAAATGACTGTCGACAATCAAATCCGACCTTTTCTAAGACACGCTCCTTATAAATAGTCATCTAACTGCCGCAGTGATCGCGAAATGTCGAACACGAACTCCATTTTGTTTCTAAACGAATGTTGCAAAATATAGAAATATGCTTAGGGCATTAAGCTGATGCCTATCAAGTAACCTTAGATTTAAAGCGAAGGATGTAACTGTTATTTATGTACTTGCTGCTTTAAAGTTTACGCTAATAAATGTAAAAGTATGGGGAATCGACAGCTATAATGTTTGTTGTCAGTGAGTGTATCTGGCACGTAGATCAATCGTCAATCAAACGCAAGGTAAGAGTGGAGGAATCTATTTTAGCATCGACGAAGGTAAGACTCATTCGCGCTTTCGGCCCAAGACACACAAGGGTATGCCATTTATAAATAATTTCATTTGTGAGTTGCCAACACAGTTAGGACATGGCCTCGCTGTCTCGGTAAATGGAAGTTTTCACATTCACAAAATTTTTGACAATGCAAATAATTTGCGGCGTGTTCGCAGCAATGTACAACAGCTGTGCAAAGTGTATAAGAACACTTTTATGTTGTACAATTAGCGACACGCCCTTGCAATTCAATCTAATACAATGATGTACAAATCTCTACCGGTTATAAGTTACCCTGTTTTGAAGTATTATTACTTCCGTAAGTAACTCTTAATTATATTTATTGAGCTTAAAAATATAATTGGTAACTCACAACAAACAATATTAAAACAAGTAGTTATCTCATTGATTACGGTTTTTATTTTACTCGTTTCCTTGTTATCGTACGTAATTAAGATATTATTTGATAACCTCTTACATAGAGTAAAAATGCCGCCTACACAATGATCTGTTTAGAACCGCTTTTAGAATTTAGCTTCTAAACAGTGATGCACCGACGCTAAATTAGCAGTAGCTGTTATGAATGAACGGGCATTTGTTGTGAAGATTACATAATGGTTGTATGTGGTACGATTCAGCATTCGATGCTGGATTGCTGGCACTAAACATTTCGTTCGAAGGCCACAGCTACAAAGCGTGTGCCGTGTGCGTTCGCAAACCACGCGTTGCGATTTCCTGTTTGACAACTATCGACCTGTATCTACTTACATCACTATCGTTTTCTGTCATAGCGTTAGACGCTTGAAAGGGGTCTGGTTGCTATGTACCGTGTTCATCATTACCGGAATGACTTCAGACGGTCTCACGCCTCGCAACTCTTCCTTATTGAATAATTATTTTGTATTTTGGCGAGAACAAGCCTTATATATCACGTTGCAAGCGAACGAATGTTATTAATGAACAATTCAATTTATCCAATCATTTCAATCTTATAAATGGAGCATGAAATGTCATCAGGCCATGGGATTGTGTGCGAGTGACGCCATACGGATGGCTTGTCAGAATCTAGTTTGCAATCAAAACCCATCGGAGCATACTGAGATTTAACCTGGATTCTAGACAATATAATTGTTCTCTGCATTCCTTACGTTCAGATTTATTACCGCGCAGGCGATCGCTTTGTGCACCACCACTCAACAAATACGATTCGACGGAAAGGAGATATCTTGATAGACATTTAATATTGTGGCAAATATGATATAACCTTTTTATAATAGATTCATCGTATAATCCTAATATTCATTCATGAATTCAAATGCAATCTCGATAATATTTGGCTACATTAATATTTATTATATACTTTATTTTAATGGTGTTTTATGTACGAAATCGTTCACGTGTGAAAGGATACGTATATTGACGTAAGTAATTTGTCTTACGCGCGTTGGCTAATTTTATATGAAGACAAATGACAAATCATTGGTAGGTCATTTATAATTGTGTCTTGGGCAACTGGCTTTCGTCTTCGATTACGCTGACATTGCTATCAGATGTCGTGTTACTTGTAAGAAGCGTAATGCAATTGACCTCGTATCATTCGTCTTCTAGGTCTAACCTAATCGTGTGAAGTGGTTCGGTGTTTTGTTTATAAGTTAATACGCGAGAAGGTCTTGAGATGTTATGACAGCAATTACACAAATTACCTATGGTACTTAAGTATTAACGCCACCGCGGCAAAAATTCTGGTAACGATTTAGAAATCCGTCGCCGAATTTGATGACACTGATGATATAGGTGTCTTCGGGGACCTTGATTGGAAAATCTCCAAGTGATTTTAATAAAATATTAATATACTAACTTAACCTAACCAAAATTATATTTCTATTACAATAGTCTTTTATCGGCAAAGACAAACATTAATAAAGTGCCTTTTGACTTATTGTAATTAAATAATTTCGACCTATTTTTAAACTGTCAAAAGGTTCTTCCGTAATTTGACCCTTTGTTTAAATTTTATTGAGCTCATTAAAACTCCTTTTCAAGCTAAGCAATTATAGGTATTATTACCTTTGAAATACAATTCAAAATGGTCAGTTATTGGTTTATTTTAGCCGATTATAACAATAGATCTTTTGTTATAGCTAAATTTTGGATTCGAAAAATTTTGTTAGCGCTACTGCTTGATGTTTTATTTATAATATATAATATATAATAACCCAAGGAAATAAACAAAAGCAATTTTCAGTTATGCAAATTTAAAAATTATATGACCGTCGCTCAGACGTGTTAGTTAAGTCTCATGATTTTGCAGGTAGGTATTTATATTGGTACAGACCGTATAACATTAAGGAAACAATTTGTAATATTCAATATTTTCATCTGTCATTAATGTCACATTGACAGTTGATGTCGTAAAGACACATCGACATTGAGTCTTAGTGTTTTATATAAAAATGGTTATAATGTCGTATCAGTTTCCAATAATAATGTAACGTTTAGCAATAAAAGGAAAGTTCTTTTTCCCAATGCAACGCTTGACTAACTCGACACTAGCGAATTTCATAATTTGCAATCGAACCGGAGTTTCGCAAACAACGTTCAACTGTTTATCCTTAGTTATTGTTTCCTTTGATTAGCAATTATTAATTTCTTTCATCTAGAATACTACTTCCTAGTTATGTAATTGAGTTGTTTTTAATAAAACTCTTCAGTTGAAACGTTAAGACGCCAACAGTTTTCCGAGTCTAATTCTAAAAACATTTTTTTAAATTATTTTTGTACCATAATTGAGTAAATAATTCAGCTTTGGAAGGTAAAATGATTTTCTATGTTAAACCGTATTTTAATAATAACCATGGGAATCGGATCTTAAAAAGGTATTTTTCTTTAAGATCTTCTTACGTAATAACTAACTTAACATCTATAAATAAATAATAACTCAATTATTGTCAAAATTTAAGAATTAAAATCTATATTCAATAACATATTAAAAGCATGTACTTCCCTGAATTAATGTAGGTTATAGTGAGTCAAATGATATTAGCTTTCAATCACGTAGTAAATTAACATTTAAACAATTGATTTACAAAACATTCTTGTGCCTATGAGTTTCGTGCCAAATCAATATAGACTGCTAACAAATGCACCATTTACCCACGGATTATTTATAGCCAATTAAAAAAGTCCCTAATACTAACTAAATTATATTTTTACTAGATTCCGTCCGCATTTATTGTATTTCATAATTGTTTGCCATCTCTTCACCAGTCATCGTGTTATTTTAGTCAAGTAACAAAAACTATTTTATATACCTTTGTGTAAAAGTCGTACAAAAATCCGTCTAGTTTTACGCCCGAACCCAATAACCTATCTCAATCCATAATCCACCATCTGAGTATCTTAATAATAATATAAAAATAGTAATCTTAATCCAAATGTTGTAACAAGGGTGCCAATAACCAATCGACGGATTGTAATAGCCATCTGTCGATACAAGCTATCCATGGGAGGTCGTATCTGTGTCTGTGGATAGACCTTTGTATGAAAATGACAGTTTACGAAAGCTCGATTTCAACAGTTAATTATTTTAACAGATTTTAAGTTACACCAGTTTTTTAAATAATTAAAAAACTGTTTGTTATGTTTTAAACATACACATGTATATTTTAATGTTATCTGTACGGTTTTATTTACTTTATTTGGTTTACATTGATTATCAAATATGAGTGAAAAGTGAAAACTCGATAAAATGGAACGACAAAGAGCATTTTATCTGTCGCCAAAAATGGATTGTCTTTGTAGGGTTTGGTTATTGGGATGCAGATAGGAGATCGATCGACTGTCACGGTCTAATGAGATGAGATTTTGGATTGATTATTGGGTTCGGGCGTTTGCTTTATATAGAGGATATCGCGTTAATACAGGCAACGCAGCCGTTCATTTTATGAAATGATTTCAGAAATTTGTCCATTTTGTAAAATTATCGAGTAATTTGAATGTCATTTACCGTATCACGTATGTATTAAACAAAAATAATAATTTATATTTTACATTTTCTATGATTACTGACTAATGTCTAAACCGTTACTATTTTACCGTTATTATTTTGTGGATTAGTACTTTTACCGCTTATTACTAATATTACATTTTACATTACATTAAAATGTCCGTGTTTCCTCGTTTTCGGGTTTCTACAAATACCCTTATGCGGAGCTCGTTGCGATTTCCGAATCATATACAGTCAAAACCGTTTACGACGACATCATTTAGAGTAACATACCGGTTATATTGACCAAAATCAAAGGTCCCGGCTGAATTCTATAGTATTACGTACTTAATAATAACGCCATCGGCTGTTACGAATATCGGTTTTTACGATCAAATGAGTAGTCTCTTCGATGTCGTTATAACAGATTTTGACGTATTATCAGGTGCTTCAAGATAAACGCGCATTAGTTAAAAAACTGCGTTTAAAACTTCGGACTTCAATGTTCATAATTAATAATTAATCGGCGCCACTTTCCATCCTGTTACATTACCAATAATGGAACAATAATCTCAAACATGACCATTCTAGGCCAATGTTTAATTATTATATAACTAGTGTGCTAGCCTTGAGCCACACTTGATTCTTTACGATTGAGATATTTTTATTACTGTTTACATGCGTTAGGTACAATTCTTCCTGTTTATTGTTATGGTGATGCGTATTTGAATGCTTGTAATGCATTTTTTTCGTTTGATAAAAAATCTAATTTATCCGTACACCTGTGTCGTGTTGCTTTGAAAATAAACTGTAAAGAGTTTTTTTATTTTTCATTAATAAATTGTTCTATTTATTTTACCTCGATTTATTGTTTATTTTGGGTTAAAGTCTTAAGTATATAATTAATTACACGCCAATAAAAACAAGGGAAAACATGAACAGAACACGATATTTTTTTTGTTACTTTTGCCATTTAAATCGGTCAACAAGTTTTAAATGACAAATTTGAGTTTCTTGAATTAATACCTTTTTAAATAATACATTAAGAGAAAGCTTGTAGCAACTATTTTAATATATAAGTAACTCAGTATAATTCTCTCATTCGGAAGGCCCAATTGCCTTTTTACTTCCGACAAAATCAACAAGTGGGCAAGGTAAAAGTGATTGTATTTGACGTGTTTCCGGAAATATGTTTACTCAACTGATAAGTGGTGAAAGTATATTACAATTGTAGCGAAGGTCAATTACGCGAGAAAAAACTCTACTATCTAACTTGCAATAGCGCCATCTGTTTGATATAATGAGAAATGCAGTGAAGAGAAAAGTTGAGTAGGTAGAGTGTTAGCTTAGTTTTGCTATTACACGATAGATGGCGTGTTTATACAAATATGAATCTAAAGATGTTTTACGGTATTATTTACATTTTGGTATATGTACTGTATATTAGACTTAACAATATGGTGTCAACTCGTTGTCATAAACTGTACGTATCAAAGTCATGTCGGTTTCGTTTGGTTTCACACGGACAATGGCAGGCGAGTCTTCTCAGGCAACTTGACACGCATGGCTGGAAAACACCTAGAAAGATCCGACTTTTTGCATGACTTTTGAAATACATAATCTTTCAAATTAGATTTTCAGATCATAATAAGAATAACTGTACTGCGTGTTTTGTAATAAATGAACCGCCATCTATATCGGAATATTAAAATCGGGGTATTAAAATTTATTCAACTGCAGATCATGCGGTACTGAGTTTAAAGCGAGGTATTTTTTAATATGTGAATAATTAAATGCTATTTTGATGTACGTCTTAGTCTCCTTCAAGAAAAGAGCGTACCTATTCATTAAAGTCGACAATGCACTTGCTGCTTCTGGAAGTGCGAGTGTCCATGGATGAAACAATTTTCTATTAATCTCGATTTTCGGGTGAATATTGGACATCCGTCCCTTAAGAGTACGGGTTCTATGGAGTAAACTAGAGCGATCACAGATAAATAGGTACTTATATTTGCATAGTTGGTCTCTATAGCCTGGAGAACTTTATTTCATAGTTCAAAATTTGCTTTATAAAATAAACTAGTGACCTTACATGAACATTTAGATTAGGCCCTAATCGGCCCACATTCGTTTATCAAGGAGACTGGCATCACGATCCACCGCAGGCTTACATTGTAACTATTTTTATGATTACTATAAAGTCATTATACAAATAACACGTTCGCATGTTTTATGAACTTGCGTATCCCTCTAAAGGTCACATTATGGTTTACGTTGTATTCGACATTATTATTCGAATTATTAGAAAGAATTAATGTCAAAGTCAAATCGTTTATTTCAATTAGACCATCTAAAATGGCACTTTTGAACGTCAAAAAAAAAAAAAAAAAAAAATGGTTGAGAATGTCAGTCAAAATATTAAACAACGTTTTTCGAATCATCGTGCATTGTCAAACGAAAAGTGTCGCGTGAGCGTGGAATTGAAGTGTAGACTGATCACCAACGCACCAACCGTGTATTGTTTCATTTTATATAAATCCATAGACTGTAAAATTCAATGAGAGAAGACTGAAGATTTCTGTTCGATGATTTTACTATATTGAAAAGATGACTTAACGGTACATTATCAAAAGGATAAAAAAAATCAAGTCGCCTTGTCAACTGTCATTACGCCATCCGAAAAAAAAATGTCAATGACAACATTTCCGCAATCAAGAAAATGCCGTCTTTGTTCGAGGCATTTTTATTCATTTGCATACTCGTAATAAGAATTAATTATCTATGCTAGTTACTTTTTTATTTACATACTCAATTGATGTTAAGTAACTAATCGAGTAATTACCACATTCATGAAAGAAATACGCGTCAAATATTGGTCGAAACGAACTCGCCCTTCTTTTAAAGTTAATTGCTTTTTTAATTAATTTATTCCGGAACAAAAAGTAATTTTAATTAGGTAATTTTTAATTTAAAACTGCCTTTTGTGTTTTAGATAGCTTGATTACATACTTCACTTAAAATTCTCAATGAAACAGACGAAGTTTTCCGTCTGTTCATTGAAGGGGCATAAACAAATGCCAATATAACTTTTTTGAAATGTTTTGACGACTCATTGGTATAGTGGTTAGTACCCCTGACTGCGAAACCATGGGTCCCGGATTCGATCCCCGGCTGAGAGGAACATCGATGTGATGAGCATTTAGTGTTGTGCTTAGGTCTTGGGTGTTTAAATATGTATTTATATGTCTATCTATCTATAATATGTATGTATATCCGTTGCCTAGTACCCATAACTCAAGCTTCACCAGCTTAGCATGGGACTAGGTCAATTGGTGTGAATTGTCTTTAAAAAAAAAACAATAAATGCCTACGATCATCACACAATTACAAACGTGTAGTGTGTTTAATAATATGAATTAAATTAATAAACGAATTTTATTATAATCGATGGCTATGTTCTTGTAGTAAGCACTGTTTGTTACAAAATCGTGACAATTGTGCGATTAGAATCGTACAACGTGTGAGGGAACAAAGCTTAAAACCATGAACAATCATTTATAAAACTTATGGTTTTGTACAGACAATTTATTGTTTTAAAAACTAAAAAGTTTGTTCTATACGTTACTAGCAGACCCGACAGACATTGTCCTGCATGATATTTCAAGCGATAAGGACATTAAACAAAGTACGAAAGTACCGACTGCAGCGCCATCTGCTGGGCGGATTTGTGAATCTAAACCATCCAGGGCTCCACCCAAAAGCATACAAAAAAATCATTCAAATACAGTTTAAGAGGAGTTCAGTGACATACACACGTACAGTAGAATTATATATATATATATATATATATGTAAGCTATCCTATCCTTTAAGTTAGATCAAACTGCACACGGTGTGCATATTTAATTGAAATCTGTTAAGCAGTTTAGGAGTCCATAGCGGACACAACGTGACGCGTAATTTATATATATTAAGATATTTTTTTTATGCTTCACGCCACGCCTTTAAAAAGTTGCTTGTCAACATCTGTGGAGGGTAAGATCAGAGTCGAAACTAAATCCCAAGTACGACTTCTATATATCAATGTTTTTGACATATTATGACATTCATGAGTGATGAGATTCAGAAGCATTGTTCAGTTTTTAGTCACATACAGTTTATGACCTTTATATTGAGCAATTGCGTTGATAACTCAATTATATATTATGACATCCCACGTATGTCAAAATACAGGAGTCACGCGCTAAGTAAACTTAGCAAGTTTTCAAATATTACTTTTAGATCACCCACTAAATGCTTTCTTGTTTCTACGCGAATGCAGAATCTTCAGCATACATAACGCGTAATTTATTTTGAGGTATCAACGCAATTACTCAATATAAAGGTCATAAACCTATGTGACTTTAAAACTGAACAATGCTTCTGAATCTCATCACTTTAATCTAGCGTTTCTACGGTAACTCTAATAGCCGTTACAATACAGGCCAAGGTTGCTTGGCTTTCCACTACTAGAACATTAAAATTCATCTCACCTATTAACCTTTCATCGAATTGTGAAATGTATTGATAGCCATTAGAATAAAAATATTTGCTCTTGAAATAAGATCTATAATGAATGGTATAGGAATAAATACCCAAACACTCGTAACACCTAAGAAAATATTTGCATTGAAGAATAATAAACGATGGAAGTTCTGATAGATATCGCAAAATAGCGCTAAAACAAAAAAGAAACTTTAGCAAAGAATTATCATATTTTAAATATCTCTATTAACCGCATAGAAAAGACCTTGCAGTAGCACGTATTTCTATAAATACATAGTTAATTTTTTACATTAGTGTTGGCCTAGAGGCTTCAGCGTGCGACTCTCATCCCTAAGGTCGTAGGTTCGATCCCCGGCAGTGCACTAATGGCCTTCTTACTCTGCGCATTTAACATTCGCTCGGACGGTGAAGGAAAACATCGTGAGGAAACCGACAAGTCTTAGACCCATAAAGTCGACGGCGTGAGTGTAAAATGATCATGAAACATGAACATGAAACTAATTTTATTCTACATACATAATTAAATGAATTTATAAATAAATACGCGATCTATTTAAATGAGTCAATATATTTCAGTTGACGTTTTGCCGCTAGCGATGATATTGACGCTTCGTTTCAGTTCACTTGTTACAACCTTGTCTTGCTTTAAATCGGTTTTCAGTCTGACATAGATCGAGCCTAATGAACCGAAAACGTAATAGCCTTTTCAGCGTGATTTCACTTATCGCATAACAATGAATGCTCACGAAACTGTAATTTTGCTGATTCCAATTAAATCTGAGAGGAACAGGCACGCCAAACTTATAAAGTGAAACTAATGTTTTATTTACGTACAATATATTAGGCAAAACAATGGCAGTATCATAGGTAAAATCTCTTTGTTAAAATGCGGATCACACATAAAATAGCCTTCATAAGCGATTTTTAGATAAGCCTACTTTAAGTACTTAATATATGTACAGCACTACTTTTTAAATAGAATGGGATACGTCATGAAAGAGATTTGTATTGTATTCTTTCAAATCTATGTACCATACTTGGGTGATTTCAATTCAAGGAAACCATTTCATTATGGTTTCGTAAAGTTTACTACACATTTATGTTACCTAATATATACCTATTCCTTATCATAGTCTTTCTCTATTTCAGTGCTGGAATGATGGGCGAGGGCCTGCTGACTCTGACGTACGGCAAGCACCACGCCTGCATCCTAAACGAGGTGGGGGCGGCGTGGAGAGGCGCCAGGTACTCCGACCTGGTGCTGGTTTGCGACGACGCTGTGCCATTGGCTGCCCACCGCATCGTCATGGCAGCTGCTAGCCCACTAATCAGGTAATTGGGGAAATATTACATCTCTACAGGCACATATATAAAAGTAAAGTGAACCATCCACGGAATACTGCCATGATGGATCTTGAATTGGAAATGAATTATTTGATTAAGAAATATAACATAATTGGACTTAATTGGCTTGGCTTTTGATCAAATATGTAAATGCAATGGAGTAAGATATAAATATGACTATATCACATAATATACACCATTATTATAGTCCGAATACTATATCAACAATAATATAAATAATTTGTATCCTGTGTTTTTTTTCAGAAAAATCTTGGATGATACGCCATCTGTTGAAAATCCAGTAACCATCCACATGTCTGGTATAAATAGCACGCTGATGAGACATCTTCTTGTTTTCCTATACAGCGGTCAAGCATACATTGAGGTGAGTATTTTAAGTAAAAATCATTTGCTATGTATAGTAAAAAGCTAATAACAAAAAACACATGGCATAATGGACAGTATCTAATATATTGTGTCTTATTTCCAGTCTGGAGAAATCGATGATATGCAAGAACTATTTGAGCTCCTAGAAATTAAATCAGATGTCTGGAAATCTACAAAAGAACGACAACAAGCAGAAGAACGGAACAGATCATGTGATAGATTAAAAGCTAAAAGGACCGATATCAACAGCAACGAAAGTAGTAAGCATGATGCGCCTTCAGGATCTTCACATTCAGAGAGTGAGAGAGTTACACCGGGTGCAGGTTACAGCAGAGATAAGGACAGAGGTGAATCGGAATCATTAAGTATAAAAAAAGAAAATATGTCTACGAGCAGTAATGATGAAAGGGATGAAGATGATGCAGATGGAGATGGAAAGGAGTGTGGTCGGCTGTCATCACGCCGACGGAGTTCATCTAATCCCGTCAATTTATCCGTTGCAAGAAACTCTGAAAACGCCGGCAGTGAACACGATGAGCAAGACTTGGATGTTGAAACAGTTGCGGCTAAGGTAAGTTTTTCAAACATATTTTTTTTAATAATTACCACCCAGACAATAAGATTTATGGTATAGACAGATAACTTTAATAAATATAATTTATCAAGTTCGATTTAGCAGCTAAAACAGGTAAATTGTACTTTTCAGAATATCGAGCGCAGACGATCTACAACCTCAAGTCAAGAAGATCCGCCACCAGAACCAACATATCGAAGACAACTACTAAGCGACAGATTAGGGAGAGGCAGTGAACGAACAAAAAGAAAATCTCATTATTTAGAGCCACCAGAAATGGATTTACGTACCGTGAAATTGGAAGATTACGCCCACCTTAAGCCTCCCGATCAAGATATAATGTCACTTGTCCAGACATCTCCAGAAAATTACGTTGTTACACCACATCGAAAACGTCGACCCGGTTTCCATAACTCACCATCTCAAAACCCCCCATTTGTTTCCTTCCCGCCAAGTTATTTGGAAGAAATGGCACATTTACGGTATGCACAAGGACCCGTAGCTGCTGGAGTAGCGAGGCTCGGAGCTTTACACCCTTTGAGTGCGTCAGCACCTCCGTACCTTCCAGAAAGAAGCATTACACCGCCTGCTGCAGCTCATGACGATGCGCTCAGTAAATACCGACCACCAAGCGCCGGCTCTTGGGGACCTTGGCTTTGCCAGCCCCAGATGGGCGGAGATGAAACACCGACAACAGAACATGAACAGGGTTCAAGTAAACAGGCTCCCGTCAGAGAATATAGGTGTGAATATTGCGGCAAGCAGTTTGGCATGTCATGGAATCTCAAAACACATCTCAGAGTACACACTGGAGAAAAACCATTTGCATGCCGGCTCTGCGTCGCCATGTTTAAGCAGAAGGCTCATCTCTTAAAACATCTTTGCTCGGTTCATCGAAACGTGATATCATCCAGCGAAAATGACGGGAGAACCAATACGCCAGGAAGATTTAACTGCTGTTTCTGTCAATTAACTTTCGAGGCCTTACCTGAACTAATTCGACATCTTTCTGGACCGCACAATAGCCTTCTACTAAGCAAAAATCTACATGAATGACGCCCGTCATCATGACGCGGCAACACGCGTTTTGTTGGACTTTGAAACTCCTCTCGCGCTGAGAGATAAATTGTGATATGTGTTTAAAAAGGTATATAATAAGTGTTAGTACATAAGGTATGAAATCGCAGAGCGATACTCATAGTTAAACATTCACAGATTGCGGTCGTAGCGAATGTGTCGTTACTGACTAATATTGTAGGTTCATGTTTGCCGAATGGGTCCAAAATGTTATAATTTGTTTAAAAATTATAATTCGGGACCAATACCTTCCGAGATAGTATTTATTTGAAAATTGTATTTCATTAGCGTAAATATGATGTAAAGCCACCGACACATAATTCCTTAAGAATAGAAAATAGATGAAAACGTAGGAGAAAAGTTGCGATAACCTCGGGCCGTCACACAAACTACCTCTTAATATAAATTATCATTTTGTGAAACGAGTGACGTATTTTCTTTGCTACCCTAGTTATATACAAAGTATGGAACCAGTTGTGTTTACATTGTCAAAAGTTACCTTAAAGAAAATACATGCTATGCGTCCATAGCATATATTTGATTGAATTCTTCATACTCTGTTCCAATTACATCTGAAATGTATTTCGCAGCTTTTCAAAAAATACTTAAAATCTCAATATTAGTTTTATCATATATGTGAAATAAAATTGTGTTCGTATGTTTAAATTAAACTCAGCATTAGTGCCGGTTATGCAGTGTGGATGAGCACCAAAGATTTGTAAAGCATGGACGTTGTTTTGGTGTACAATTTAAGAGAAATTATAGGGACCTGAAATGAAATGCCTAATTTTAAAGTATGTAGGTACCAATTTAATAATCTCATGACTAAGGACTATTCTCTTGTTTCTATAACTTCTATAATTCCACTACGCTGTATTAAAATTTATCCTTCTATTTTTGATAAATTTATTCTAGTATTAAACGTTAGTTGTTAAGCTTATTCTAAATCTTTCGAAGCTTTTAAGTATTCTTTTACTATGGCCAGTTATTTTTAAATGGTATCATGTAGTTACTCAGTTTATATTAATTACATTATTTCGGAATGGTGTGTTTCTCTTGTCTGGCAAACGACAATGCAATGTTCAATATTCTAATACTCAGAAGTCGATTAAACATTTTGTCCATTCCCAAGGAGTTGTGCAATTCAAAAATCGAACCTTATTTTAGAGACATAAAGTTACCAACACGTTCAAAGTGTAGAATAATGACAAATTGTCGAATCGCTTTAATTTTGTCTTAATGTTACCTATCGTTATATACCTGACTTTGTTTTTTCGTGTTTTACGTCGATATTGACGTTTATTTTTAATTGGGAACAACTTAATCATTGTGATTGAGGTTTTGTTAGATTAACATGTATGTGATAATCTGTTAGTTTAAGAAAGAGAACGCAGTCTTCCATCGCGTTTTCCAAATTTGAATTACGTAATAATTGTAAATATAGTTTAGTGTTAAGAATTTACATGACAAATGTCGTCCGTTATCGCTGCCGCAAATACGTAACCTGAACAAACATGATATTACATGCTTAGCACAATAAGTGATATAATGGCGGGGAGCCAAATTTGCCTAAAAACAATGCAATCTATTAGTTTTTCATTTTTATACGAAATAGCATTACAGTGTAATCGCTAGAAATTCCTTTTTCAAAAATTTATACTAAATGTTTTTGTATTAAAACACAATTACTATAAATTAATAATTATTACAGGACGCCAACTAATGTAAATATAATGTTTAGTTTTTAAGTTTTATGAAAAAAGAAGCTTAACTTAATACTTGTTGAACATGAATATTTTTCTGTTAATTGTAAATTAAAACGTATGTAATAAGTTTCACATAGTGTACAATTTTTTGTAGATATTATTTAGTACATTAACATTCTGTAAAAATGTGTTCTTACCGTAGTAAATTAAATAACGAGAATATTTTAGTTACACAGCCAGTGTTTTTCATTTCCATTTTTTTTAATGCCATCAAGTATTTGAAAATACACCAAAAACCTTAGCCAGTATATGTAATTCGTTTTGGAATCGTTCGCTTTTATAATAGGCAAGTAGATGATCAGCCTTCTGTGCCCGACACACATCGTCGACTTTTTAGGTCTAAGACCACCGCTTTCCTCTCGATGTTTTCCACTACAGTACGAGCGACAGAAAATGCTCACCACCATCAAAGACCATTGGTGCAACGACGGGATCACACCTACGATCTCAGTGATGAGAATCCCTTGCTCATGCCACGGTGATGGCCATCACTGCTGAAATTTGAAAAGTAACAACATTATTCACCACTAGATGGCATTATTTAAAAATTTGCAATATTTTTAAAAGGAATATCTTACATCATAGATCTTTAAATTAGATACCAGCAGCCATCCAAAAAACCTAATGATAACAAAATCGGAAATTTATCCCTATATAATATATATATATATATATATATATATATAATACATAAATAGTTTTTACCCTAAATATATAAATAAACCTATTTGAATTACACACAGGCGTATCTATGACACAGCCACACCATATTTAATTAATTTTTGTTTCGTATAATACGTTTTGGTGTCTGTTCGGTTAATAAAGTTTTCAATGCAATTTAAGTCTGTACTAACCTGAAACAAATATTGTTTTGCCAGGTTCTGACCTTGTAACAGTCCATGTTTGGAGACAATGGCTACCGCCTTCCACTAAGACTAAATGGTTTTATTTGTTACATTAACAAAAAATTTATTCTAAGTAAAAAAATAAAACACTACGTATTAAAAATATTTTTTAAGTTTGGGTTCTCGCCACAAGATGGCACTGATTCCCACAAATTTACTTGATATCGGAATCATGTTCATAGAGGTATATAATATTGGTCTAAGATCCCGATATACAACGACCTTCACCGAGATGCTTATTTAATGAAACGTATTTTATATTTAATTTAATATGTCAATAAATATAATCCATATGGGTTGCCTAGCAAATTTCAATTAATATTTAAAAAAAAATATTTTTTTAAACATTTCACCGGTATGATTAATTGATAAATTCTATACCAATCGAAAGTATGAAGCCCATAGAATATGCAAACGTTAGGTTGTTTTTAATCAATTAATTATTTATGTGTATATTTTTTATGTGACACTAAAGTATATATACATCTTTAGTAAAAAAGAAAGTTATAGTGATACATATATAATACTACCATGATTAAAAATATTGATTGAAAAAAATTTAAAAAATTTACTACATGCAAATTATAAAAAAAATTTTTTTTTTTAAATATTAATTAAACATACTCTGGACTGAAATTTGCTAGGCAACCCATATGGATTATATTTATTGACATATTAAATTAAATATAAAATACGTTTCATTAAATAAGCATCTCGGTGAATGTCGTATATCGGGATCTTATACTATATGCTTTTATATTATTATAATACATTAAAATATCTATAGAGAAAGGATTATCTTTCTATAAAGTCATCAATGCCAATTTATTGAATTGTAGTGTATATGTATTAAATAACTATTTACTTTCTTTCGTTCAACATAGTTATAATAGGTAATGGGTACATAGATATATTCGTATGTCTTTGCACATATGCGCATTATATCATAACTAAATTAATTTCATAACATGATGTTAAACTTGTTTTTAAACTATGTAATCGTGCATTTTCCAGAGGTTTGCATTTGCTGAAACACCTATTATCTAAAATATTTCTAAATCTAATCAAACATAATATTTTTATTTATTATTGTGTTGGTTTTAATTTTACCATTGGACAATAGATTTGGTAAGTATTAAATTATTTTTACTAATACGTATTTTTATTCTTTTTAGGTCTCCAAGAACCTTTGGTAAAATTTTGTTTATGAAAGTTGGCGTTTTTTTTCCTCATTTCATTCGTAATAAATAATCATACCAGATAGAACTATGTCTATTAATCCTCTGCATGTGAAGTCTCGAATACGCAATGGACTAGCGTGGGGACTACTGACCATTCCCCCTCGCCTAAGAGAGGAGGCCTATGGCCATTAGTGCGACATAAACAAAAAATCTCAAAGTTTGTTAAAATTAAACTGAGTACAACGTGACGATTTTTACTGATAGGGCCCAATCAAAAGATTTGCCGCGGGCCCCAGATAGTATAGTTACGCCACTGCTAGCAATAGTATGGAACTTTCTCCAACCTATGAAAACAACACCTAGGTTTATTTTAAGACAATTTCAGGTTAGTCGCAAAAGCTTTAATAAAACATAAACTCTTTGGAAAAAGGAGAAAAAAAATTCAGTTGAATATATTATCTTAATATATATAAATTACGTGTCACGTTGTTTGTCCGCTATGGACTCCTAAGCAACCGAACCGATATCAATCAAATTTGCACACTGTGTGTAGTTTGATCCAACTTAAAAGATAGGATAGCTTACATCTCAATTTATACCCGCAATATTATTTTTATTATTATTTGTTTATTATTTGATAGTCACAATTCTAACAGATGGCGCTGTGTTGAAAGTACCAACGTTTCACATAAGCAACAATTGAATGGCATAACCACCAAAAAGCATGGTGGATTGGTGTTCTCCTGCCGTTTCTCTTGAATAGTTTACTCCTATGTAATATAACAAAAATCTTAGCCACAGCAACGCTTGGCCGAGTCCACTAGTATTATATATACGGTAGTTTTAATAGTCAGCCAATTTGGGACTAAGACTGACTATTACAACTACCAACAACAAAATAATCATTATGAATTAGGCTATAAAAAATTTAGGGGCAACAAAAATAGACAATTCGTGCTATTAAATGGCTAACGGTAGAAAAACATTACTTGGATCTTTTTGTTTAAGTAAAAAAATTGTTATAAACAAAGTATAAATATTTTTGTAACGTTTATGGCACGATCTTGTCAAGTATGTATGTAAGAAAGGCTCTAAGAAGCGAAATTTTTTTACGACCATTATTTAAA